AATACCACTGAATCGAGAGGTCCTCTCCTCTGCTGATGAAACTGTCAATGTTCTTGTGTTGCTATAATTTGTTTGGGATGGAGATCATGAGGCGATGAAAAGGAAGCGAGTGGATGTGTTCTTGAATTTGCGCACTAACAGCCAGAGCGATTGGTGAAACCGAGACTGCTGAGCAGACCCCTGCCGGAGTGAATAAATCCTCCAGAGAGAGTCGAACTCAGAACCGAAACACATTTCAGTAGAATTCATCCGAGCTGAGATCAGACCACCACTGTTTACTAATTTGGTAGTTTAGTGGTAAAGTCAAATTTATCTTAAGACTGGAAGCAACCTACTCCACTATCGGGGATGTGGGCGAGGTCACCCAACATTAACACAAACTTTGCTACCAGAAGTGAATAAATGCAACTAAAATTCAGCATACCTACTTTCCATGTAATTTTATTTTTGCATTTTCACCGATAATTATGCTAAAACTGTTCGGTCTAATATGGATCTCCAGAGGGAATAAGTGATCTCTGAAGGGGATTTGGAGTAAATGACAGATGCACTGTTGTGTAAATATATGCTAGAGATCCTAAATGGGTAGGATGATTAATGAATGAATCAATGCCTATAAGTGAGTATATGGAGAATAGGGGACGAAGGGACAAACAAGTTAACCGATTCGAGTAACAAACTGCTAGGAAGCTAAATGCATGAAATCGCAAGCAGTCTTTTACGTATGGTGGTCTTGGTGGACAGTAGAAGCAAAAAATGTCCGCAGCAGTTCTTTTCCAGATTCCCATAGGCGAACACACATACATTACTTTACTGCACATGACGACGAAGATACACTACTGGGATTTCTCATCCTCAGAACATCGGCAAAGAAGAATTGATTGAAGAGGTACTCCGAAAGCCGGACAATATTTTTAAATAATAATTCAACAGCCCCAAAACCCATTTTGAGATGAGAAAAGTTCGCTGTGTGGGAAAACCAATCTGTAGCAAGGACTGCCGATTTGGGGGACTGGGAACCACCACCAAGAATGTGTACAAGGAATAGCTACAAATAGAGCAAAACAAGCTAGCC